CCCCCCCCCTCCAAAACTGGTATTCTGACATTGGCACACCCGCCGATGTCAGAATTTAACAGCCCAGCGGGGAATTCATCTATTCTTGCTGTTTAGAATGTTTAGAGAAATCTGTTATATTTCTTTGTTCAACCCTCCACTTGAATGGAAATTATAACAGTGTATGGCCAGCTTTACCATATACTGTACATGTAATGACTGTATATGTTAAAGACAATACAATTTGGACAATAACAACTGGATCAAGAAACAATTAGAGGTCCATTGTATGTGAGCTCTGAGGAAACTCCCTGACTGTCTAATCTTGGGAGAATAGTTGACTACTCAAAATAGATTGTTGGGGACATTTCTTATTGTTCTGAGATAAGCACAAAGGTAACTGTGAACACTTTCTACCATATTTGTAGGTTGCCATAGTTGTACTAAATGATATGGACTTGAACATAGTTATACAGAAGTATATGGATATGAACAGCCAGTTTCATTTGTTTCATTAAAGCTCCACACTGCAGCAATGACAGTTAGAAGTTAATTGGTTGCTATAGGGAACAAGAACTTTCATTGATAACACATCTTCATAGTCCTTTGGTGCATAGAATTGTGCTATAGGTGTGGATAATAGAGCATATTACAAAAGAGCAAACACACTGGTAGTGAATGGACCAATACCTGTCTGCTGGTATTCTTTAACACCTTTAGCACTGGGAAGGACCAGCAAAGAACGCAGCTGTCCTATGTACATTGTGCTTGTTCATGGAATCTGTGGCTTGTATATTGTGTTGAGAAGTAGCAAGAGAGCCCAACATGATTTTATTTGTACCAAAAGCTTATGATTACATAACATCACATCATTGGATGCAGCATCAAGGTACAAAAGCTTCAATTGTGTAACAGGATGAATAGGAATATTTGCTGCTATAAAAGTATTCTTGTCAGGATAAGGTGTGTGAAGGAAGGTCATATGAAGGCTCATTTAACAAGTGTCTGAAAGTGAACCTGTACTGAGAACAATATGGAGGTTGCCATTGGTATTTTCCTGGCTGCCTCTGGTCTTGTTACTTTATGAGGCAATGAAGTGGAACAAGATTGCAGCTAGAGAAGCCAGAGGAAAGTCAGAATTCCTGACCTGCATACTTTTTCCAGATATGTGATTCAGTCTTTGGCCTTACCATTTTCTCTTAATCCAGAAAGCATCCACTCAGTGAAGTCAGAAGTCTTGTTTTGCGTGTTTGTTCAGGTTAGTAACTCAAAAATGATTAAAGCCAATGAATTGGCCACCTTGTGACGGCACAGTGAAAGGAGAAGCAGCAGAATGACTAGCTCATTTCTTTGTCACTCTGCACTTTCCTCCTATCGGCATGCTTCTTGCGCTGCAGCAAAACTAATATGCTTTCTCTGCTGCCTCTACCTCCCCTAGTCAGATCAGAACTGTACATGGGACTGCAAGGGGCTGATACCAAGTCAAATTCAGGTGCATACACTGCTTACATAAAAAAAACAAAAAAAAAAACAATTTAATGATATATTCATGAATAATGGTGTGCATTAAATTGTGTATTGTATATCTGCTTGCAGTTGAGATTAAATGGAGTTATAAAGTCCCAGCATCGACTATCCTGTTATAACATCAGCATTGTCATAGAAATACATTGAATACATTCCTTTATGTAGTGAGTACTGCCTTCTGTCTGCCCATCACTTCCAACAACTTCCTGGATTCCCAGTGTGCTTTGCGTCTTTGTCCCTCCTGCTTTATGTGATGCAATCTCCTTTTCTCATGACTACATATCCCATCATGCATTGCTTACAGCAAGCAATGATACTGTTACATTGCCTGGACATTGAGTTGTAGATCGGAAGGCAGGCTCTGTGAGAGTGGTGGCACAGGGTTGTGCGTATTCACAGGGTTAAGTGAAATTTTTAGTGCATTGAGGAAGTGCATACTATGGCCATCTTCAATAAGTATGTTTACAAACTTCTAGATGGATATGGTTATTAGGAGTGGGATAGAACGTATGGAAATTCAATATAGAAATACAGATTTATTTTTAGTTTTTGACTATACATACCATTTAATGTTTTTA